GTATCTAAGTAAAGTCGAGCTGTGTTAGGAGCCGTGTGTTATACAGGTATGGTCCAGGGGTCTTGGGAAGAGCTGTCCACTCCAGATGTCATCTGCTTCTGATTTCCAGGTTGTTGGGATTTGAGTTTGAGTCTTTCCCTGAGTTGGACAGTCCATACAATTTTTTATTAGTAGTGATCTGAAAATCCCATTAGTTTATATATAATTTCCAGGAGTCTCTGTTAGCAGAGTAGGGTAGGTAAAACTGCATTCTTCTGCAGAACTACTTGTTTCTGGGTCAAAGGTAAATTTTTACCAAATACAGAAACTACAAGTTAAAACTACAAATGGAGTCACTTATGGTAAGGAGGGATTTGGCCTGAACCTTAGCCAGAAATTCCAGTCATGTCCAAGAGCCTTAGTTTTTGGAATGCTCTTCCTCAATTAAAATAAGCAAAGACACTGAGGTGAGAAAATATGCAACATGTCCAGGGCAAAGAGAGCAAACCTGTGGGGCTATAACAGGATTTTCAAGTAGGAAAGCAATGAGATGCGAGAAGAAATATGTTGAGTTTGACTCAGTCTGCTAAGAACCCTGAATACTGGACTAAGGGGTTTTGACTTTCTCCTATAAGTTAATTTTTCTTTAGCTACTTTATGCTTTTGCTTCATGAACTACAATAATATCTAAATAAATTTACAAATTGGAAATAAGTAAAACTGCAAGCCAGTAAGACTCAAAATAACATTAATGCAATGAGGGAAATTGTTAACTTTTCTCAAACAAAATTGGCAACAAACAATATAAACACCATTTATAGCTATGAAAATATATGCTCATGGACACAGTCAAATGGACACTCATACATTTAATTTGACACACTCAGTGAATTGTGATTATTTAATTTGCTTACTCCCCTACACATCTGTCAGTTTGCCTTACTGTGGCAGCTTGCGTGTTGCTGTGATTCTGGAAGCTATGCCATCGGTATTCAAATACCATCAGGGTCACCCATGGCGGACAGGTTTCAGCTGAACTTCTAGACTATGATAGACTAGGAAGAAAGACCTGACAATCTACTTCTGAAAAGAATTAGCTAGGGAAAACCTTATGAATAGCAGCAGAACATTGTCTGATATTGTGCTGGAAGATGAGTCCCCCAGGTTGGAAGGCACTCAAAATACAACTGGGAAAGAGCTGCCTCTTCAAAGTAGAGTCCACCTTAATGACGTGGATGGAGTCAAGCTTTCGGGACCTTCATTTGCTGATGTGGCACATCTCGAAATGAGAAGAAACAGCTGCAAACATCCATTAATAATCAGAATGTGGACTGTACAAAGTATGAATCTAGGAAAACTGGAAATCATCAAAAATGAAATTGAACACATAAACATCGATATGTTAAGTAATAGTGAGCTGAAATGGACTGGTATTGGCCATTCTGAATTG